AGTGTGTGTGTGTGTGTGTGTGAGACAGCGAGAGTGTGTCTGTGTGTGTGTATGTGTGTGTGTGAGAGACAGCGAGAGTGTGTGTGTGTGTGTGAGAGACAGCAAGAGTGTGTGTGCGCGTGAGAGACAGCGAATATGTGTGTGTGTGTGTGTGTGTGTGTGTGTGTGAGAGACAGCGAGAGTGTGTGTGTGTGTGGAGAAGTAGCAGAGAGAGAGAGAGAGATGAGAGAAGTGTGTTAAATCACATAAGCTTCATCACAGTGAGCTCTGAGCACATGCAGAGAGACAGACAGAGACAGAGGGGAAGAGACACACAAACGCTTCAATTCTCTGAAAATACAGTGAAACTTAAGGTCATTGCACACTGAGTCCGAATAAAGCAATAAGCCCCGTGAAGCCGTGAATTTATAACAGCTAAGGGGCGTTGTTAGGTATGATAGCTGTTATAAATTCACTGTAAACCACGGCTTCACGGGGCTTATTGCTTTTATAAAACGGTTATTCCATATACGTGGTACGGTTTCACGAAATAAAACAGAGCAAATAAAGTGTAATGATATTAATAAAAACAGTATTCTTCCACCAAACAATGTAGTTCCTCAGAAACAGTTGTGTTACAACAAAGTGGTTGTCGAGCAACACACAGAAGTAAACAAAGGTGTGTGTTTGTAGAGTAATTTACAACAGCTTCGAACGTGGCTCAGCCAATCAGAATCAAGAACCGGAACTGTCCATTTTATAAATGTTCATATGCGTTTTTTTTCCGTATTCGTCATCGTTTCCTATCAAAATGCTTGTTACGGAAAATCGAACCTGATCCGAATTGTTTTATGATGGACGAAATTTTCGGAGGCAGTGTGTAAGCGTGATTGGCACAACGTGAGGTCGTATTTATTTTTTAACGTGCGAAAATTTCGGACGAGAATTTCAGACTCTGTGTACAAAGGCCACAGTGAAATCATTTTCATTAATCAAAATGAAGCTGAAATAAATGTAAATAGAAACACTGGGTGATGACGTGACTCTAATCACTATATGTTGCTCCAGAACTATGATCGTGAAGCTGCTGATCATCGAGCGTTTACCTTTCCTCACCACCTGAACAGGTGAATGCAGCACCTCCAGGGGCGGAGCTTCGGCAGGCTCCTCCCCCCACTGACCGGGGCTCTCGCTGGGGGCGGGGTCAGGTCTGTCTGTGAAGGGGCTCCTTTCATTGGCCGTCTTGTTTGTGGGTGTGTCATCTGAATCTTGACTCCACCCGTCCTCCAGGTCTCTGAAGAGCAGCTGACGGAGGGTTTCCACTGAGAAAACAAGAAAAACTAAAACTTAGTAAAGTAAACAAGATATTTAAAGGGGTCATATGATGCGATTTCAAGTTTTGCTTTCTCTTTGGAGTGTTACAAGCTGATTGTGCATAGATAAGATCCCTGAAGTTGCAAAGACTAAAGTCTCGAATTTATAACAGCTAAGGGGGTTTCCCCTTTTTCTGCTTCGCGACGTACCTAACAACAGCAATTTTGCCTACATTTCATTTGCTGTCATTAAATTGCACTTCATTCAAAAGTTTGGGGTTGGGTCTTCACCAAGGCTGCATTCATCTGATTAAACGTGCAGTTAAATCAGTGAAATATTATTTCAATTTCAAATAACTGTCTTGTATTGTAATATATAGTCAAATGTAATTTATTTCTGTGATGCAGCACTGTATTTTCAGCATCATTCCTCCAGTCTTCAGTGTCACATGATCTTCAGAAATCAGTATAATATGCTGATCTGCTGCTCGAGACACATTTCTGATTATCATCAATGCTGAAAACAGTCGTGCTGCCCAACAGTAGTGTATATACCGCCAGTTTTTGGTGCTGGCTGTTATAAAATCCTCATCTCTTACCTAATGCATTGGCAGATGAGCGTGCATCAGACGACCTGAAACAGAGCAGACATGACTTCATCAGATGCAGTGAGCATATGGCTGTAGTTTTCAGTGTTTATGAGCTGATGGTGTGACGTACGGCGCTGGTGATCCACGTTTGCTCGATCCCGCTGCTTGAGTGACTGCTGCGATTGACTTTTCCAGCAGGTCTTTCCAACTGCGAGGAAACTTCGATTGAAAGGGAGCTACTAGACTTTCAAATGCATGCAGCCCATGAGGATTGAGCACAGACTCACGTGTTCTTCTCCGAGGATGTCCCGGCCACCAGCTCATAGATCTGACTCTCTGAAGTGCTGATCACATACAGCGCTTTATTGTCTGCAAGACGAACATAAGTTGATTTAATATTTGAAAGCAACACCGAATCTCGTCCAACCAGCCTTTTTATTTAACCCTCTGGTCCTCTTCGTTTGGGAGTCACACTCGGCTCCTTCGCGGTCAAAAGTGACCGAAGCCTTAAAATGTAACTTCCTTTTTTTCAGGAAAATCAATTTAATACATTTTTGTTCAATAATATTTTTTGATTATTATTTAGAATTTTGAGGGGATTTTAAGATATTATGCAATATTTATACAGTTTTAATGAGCTATTTTCCCCACAAGAATGAATATATTTTTATTTAATTAAATGGATTCCCATTGTGTTTTTAGACATACTTACTTCATTTTATTAGGTTTTGCTTTTAGATATATTTTTAGACATTCTAAAAGACTACTTTATGTCAAGGTTTAGATATTTTTGGTTAGATAAATATCAGGTTTTGCATTATGATTACAATCAAACATTGTGTGTGTGTGCATGTGTGTGTGTGTGGGGGGGGACTGTGCAGCACTTTTTTCTGCACAGTGGCTGATTTGTAGTTTGATTCTCTGAGTTGTATTTTTTAGTATTTCACATTCATTTCCTGCAACATGCAACAAAAGTCACTAAGTGTCATCTCATACTGATGAAGCTACGATTTTTAAAATGTCAAAATATAAGCCCACAGGGTTAATGTATGCTTAATAAACTTATATGTATAAACATATATGTATCATATTGAAAATCATTTTAAAAAGCTCCGACCTAAATTGGGGTTTCTCTTTCGTATAAAGAAATGCTTTCCTTTTGAAGCAAAAAAAGAGAATTATCTGAAGCTGCTTCCTCTCAGTGTTGGACTATGGTGATGTGGTTTATATGCATGCAAACGTATCCTTGCTAAAGACGTTGTATTGTATATATCATGCTGCAATACGATTTGTGATGAATGCATCATTGCACAAATTGGTTGGTCCTTCTTGTACCAAAGGAGAAAAATGCATGTGCTACTATTTATTGCAAAGGCATTATTTACATTTGTAATGTCTTATCATATGTGTCCCTGCAGCACAGAAGCAGTGTTAAGTCGCTGGGGGATATTTGTAGCAATAGCCAACAATACATTGTATGGGTCACAATTATACATTTCTCTTTTATGCCAAAAATCATTAGGATATTAAGTAAAGATCATGTTCAGTGAAGATATTTTGTCAATTACCTACTGTAAATATATACAATTTTCAGTTTTGATTAGTAATATGCATTTCTAAGAACTTCATTTGGACAACTTTAAAGATGATTTTCTCAATATTTAGATTTTTTTGCACCCTCAGATTCCAGATTTTCAAATAGTTGTATCTCGGCCAAATATTGTCCGATCCTAACAAACCATACATCAATGGAGAGCTTATTTATTCAGATTTCAGATGATGCATACATCTCAATTTCGAAAAAATGACTGGTTTTGTGGTCCAGGGTCACACATTATACTTCCATATTTGCTCCATCTGTTTCTTTTTATATGATCAACTCGGAGAGTACAAACACAACAGTCCTGCGGAGGAAGCCCCTCTCACACACACACACACACACACACACACACACACACCTTAAGAGAGTTTTACCACAGGAACATCCAGGAAAATCCAACAAAATGAAAATGCGAAAGCTCACAGACACAATCAAAGGCGCAGTAGTTTGTCCAAACACGCGAATATATCTTTGGTTACGGGGAGCTTTATTAACGGCTGTGATATCCGAACGTGAAGTATAGTGAGCTGTGGGAAGATCCATCTTGGCATACCAACCAACCGCACGATTCATAAGTGAGCTTATCTGGCATGCTGATACGGGGCGGCACACTGATTATCAGTCAAAATAAAGAAATGAATTTGCACGATCACTTCAGCATGAAGACCAAACCAAGTTCAAATCTACACGTCAGCTCTACACAGTCTGCCACGGACAAGCATACACAAACTGAAAATGCTTTAACCCTCTGGTCCTCTTCGTTTGGGAGTCACACTCGGCTCCTTCGCGGTCAAAAGTGACCGAAGCCTTAAAATGTAACTTCCTTTTTTTCAGGAAAATCAATTTAATACATTTTTGTTCAATAATATTTTTTGATTATTATTTAGAATTTTGAGGGGATTTTAAGATATTATGCAATATTTATACAGTTTTAATGAGCTATTTTCCCCACAAGAATGAATATATTTTTATTTAATTAAATGGATTCCCATTGTGTTTTTAGACATACTTACTTCATTTTATTAGGTTTTGCTTTTAGATATATTTTTAGACATTCTAAAAGACTACTTTATGTCAAGGTTTAGATATTTTTGGTTAGATAAATATCAGGTTTTGCATTATGATTACAATCAAACATTGTGTGTGTGTGCATGTGTGTGTGTGTGGGGGGGGACTGTGCAGCACTTTTTTCTGCACAGTGGCTGATTTGTAGTTTGATTCTCTGAGTTGTATTTTTTAGTATTTCACATTCATTTCCTGCAACATGCAACAAAAGTCACTAAGTGTCATCTCATACTGATGAAGCTACGATTTTTAAAATGTCAAAATATAAGCCCACAGGGTTAATGTATGCTTAATAAACTTATATGTATAAACATATATGTATCATATTGAAAATCATTTTAAAAAGCTCCGACCTAAATTGGGGTTTCTCTTTCGTATAAAGAAATGCTTTCCTTTTGAAGCAAAAAAAGAGAATTATCTGAAGCTGCTTCCTCTCAGTGTTGGACTATGGTGATGTGGTTTATATGCATGTAAACGTATCCTTGCTAAAGATGCTGTATTGTATATATCATGCTGCAATACGATTTGTGATGAATGCATCATTGCACAAATTGGTTGGGCCTTCTTGTACCAAAGGAGAAAAATGCATGTGCTACTATTTATTGCAAAGGCATTATTTACATTTGTAATCTCTTATCATTTGTAACCCTGCAGCACAAAAGCAGTGTTAAGTCGCTGGGGTATATTAGTAGCAATAGCCAACAATACATTGTATGGGTCACAATTATAGATTTTTCTTTTATGCCAAAAATCATTAGGATATTATGTAAATCTCCTACTGTAAATATATCAAAATGTAATGTTTGATTAGTAATATGCATTGCTAAGAACTTCATTTGGACAACTTTAAAGATGATTTTCTCAATATTTAGATTTTTTTGCACCCTCAGATTCCAGATTTTCAAATAGTTGTATCTCGGCCAAATATTGTCCGATCCTAACAAACCATACATCAATGGAGAGCTTATTTATTCAGATTTCAGATGATGCATACATCTCAATTTCGAAAAAATGACTGGTTTTGTGGTCCAGGGTCACACATTATACTTGTAATTATAGGACTAGAAATTCTTCTAAATTACATTTGACTGTTCCTAGAGTATGGCCTTTTCCTCCTACGGTCCTCGGTTATGGAAAGAAATGCAGAGTGTTATCATATTAGAAGCACTTCCATCTCTAAATATTTTTAGAAAGCTTTTCTACCTGGAAGAAACATGTGAATGTTTAATGTCATTCTTTATAAATGATGTTGGATACGATTTTATTATATTTCTTGTTTTATGTGTGTGTGTAATCTGTTTGAGTGTGCTGCCGTTTTGGCCAGGACTCCCTGCTAGAAGAGATGTATCTCTCAATGGGATAATTCCTGGCCAAATAAAGGATAGATTTGTAGAGATGCATGGCGTTTGAAGTCTGACCTGTGGCGACCGAGCGGACGAGGGCGGAGTCGAGGCGCAGGATTGGGCAGAAGGGGGTCTTGATGTCTGGAGTGTGACTGTGTGTGTGTGTGTGTGTGTGCCTGTGTGTGTGTGTGCCTGTGTGTGTGAGAGTGAGAGTGTGTGTGTGTGAGTGAGAGTGTGTGT